CTAAGAAAATTCATTGACTTTCAGTTTGTGCAGGGCTTTGCTGGTAGGTCAGACAGTAAAGAATCTGCTTACAGTGCAGGAAACCTGGGTTTGATTCCTGGGTCGGGAAGATCCCCTGGAGAAGGAAATCGCAACCTACTCCAATCCTCTTGCCTGGACAATCCCATGGACAGAGGAGCCTAGTGGGCTACAGTCTATGGGGTTGCACAGAGTTGGACCTGACTGAGCGACTAACACTTGTACGCTTTCAGTTTATGCAGCTCTTTTCTCGTTCTGAGGGATGGTGACATGAGTTCCAAGCTTTTTGTTTTGTTTTTACACTTAATTGTTTTAACTCCCACAAGAATCATATACCAGTAACCTAGGAATTCACCTGTTTGTTTCAGATAATACAGCCTTAAAAAAATGTGAGTGAGCTGTGACTCATATCTGGATTTCTTTTCCCCATGTAGTGTGAGCAATCTTTTCTTAAAAAAAAAAAAAAAAAAAGTTGACATATACCAAAGAGTCCCAGAAATTAGTGTTTCAGTACCAGCCTGTTCCTAGTTAGCTTTTTTTTTTTTTTTTTGGAATGAGACATTTTAAGAATGGCCTGCCCTCCTCCTTTCTTTCCTTTTAGTCTTCAGTTATTAAATTAAATGTAAACTCAGCCATTTTGTGTAAGTGCCTTTGTGGGCTTTATAGGCAGGGGGGATTAGCGTTTATTGGCAAATCATCAGGCCTCAGGAACTGTGCTAAGTGCTCCTCAAGCGTGAAGGCGCACTGGAAGCATCTGGGGCTCCAGCTTAAATGCACATTCTGGCTCAGTTGGTCCAGGGTGGGGCCTGAGTGTCAGCATCCCTGGTTGGGTGATGCCTGGTTGCTGGTCTGTGACTGCCTTTGCCTTGGCTAATCCCTGCTCTCGGATAAGTATTGGGAGACCGGAGAGGTGAAAGGGCTTTTGCACAGCTTCACAGCTGGTCAGTATTTAAATCCAGGTTCTTGACTCCAAAGGGAGGAGGAAATGGCAACCCACTCTAGTATTCTTGCCTGGAAAATCCCATGGACAGAGGAGACTGGCGGGCTATAGTTCATGGGGTCGCAAAGAGTTGGACACGACTAAGCAACTGAGCGCTTGACTTCTTAAAAAGAAGTGGCCCAGGGATCCCTGCAGTTAATTATCCCATCTCCCCCACAATCACAGCCCTTTATTTAGATTTCTGTTTAGGACACTGTTACCAGTTGAATGTCCCCCCACAAACATATATTCAAGCTCTAACCCCGACCCCCTATGGGTGTATGTGATGTTATTTGAAAATAGCATCTTTACAGATATAATCAAGTTAAGATGAGATCAAACTGGAGTAGGGGGCCCTGAATCCAACATGATGGGCGCCCTTATAAGAAGAGGATGGTGACAGACACAGAGGACAAGGTCACGTGAGGACTGAGGCAGACTGCAGTGATGAAGCCTCAGACTAAGCAACCCTGAGGATCACCACCAGGAGCGGGAAGAAGTGTTGGCAATCAGGGTTCTTGGCCTCCTTAATCAATGGAAACTGAACAGAGGACAGACAAGAAATTTCGACAAGGCTTTACTGGGGCACTTGCTGCAGCAGTGGGAATGAGAACAAGTAACAGGCTCCCCTTCTGGCTCCCTCCCCTCCGGTCGTGTTGTGTGCACAGGGCATGTGTGGTATCCTGCTTCTTCCTCCCAGCTCCTGCTTCCCCCTCACCCCACCCCCACCTCCTGCTTTTGCTTCCTTGTGGCTCAGCTGGTAAAGAATCCACCTGCAATGCGGTAGACCTGGGCTCCATTCCTGGGTGGGGAGGATTCCCCTGGAGAAGAGATAGGCTATCCACTCCAGTATTCTTGCCTGGAGAATTCCATGGACAGAGGAGCCTTGCAGCTCTTAGGGTCACAAAGAGTCAGACACGACTGAGCAACGTACACACTGGCTTTTGCTCCAGGCTCTGCAGAAGTCACAGTTGGGCTTTTTATAGACTCTGTATCTTTTTGTCCAGAATTTGGCCCGACTGTGCATGCGTGTGGTTATTTTTAGTCCCTGACAGCGTCTTTGGACCTTGTAGCTCCAGGAGAGATGTGTCCAGGTGCCCACACTGCAGCTCTGAAGCAGAGGGTTCTAGTCCCAGCCTGTCTCCAAGGCAGGGAAACAGTCTCCCCTAGAGGCTTTGGAGAGGATATGGCTATTCCAACCCCTTAATTTAGGACTTCTAACCTCCATAACAGTGGGTTTCGTGGATGGCTCGAAGGTAAAGAATCTGCCTGCCAACGCAGGAGACCTGGGTTCAGTCCCTGGGTCAAGAAGATCCCCTGGAGGAGGAAACCAGGCAACCCACTCCAGGATTGCCTGAAAATTGCATAGACAGAGGAGTCTGGTGGGCTATGTTGGGGTTCCAAAGAGTTGAACGTGCCTGAGCACAGCAGTAAAGGTAACAGTCTCCATAACTGCAACAATACAATGCTGGGTTTATTTTATTTTATTTTATTTTTTGGCTGTGCTGAGCCTTAATTGCAGTGTGGGCTCTTCTCTAATTGCAGCGAGTGGGGGCATCTCATTGCGGGGGTTTCTCGTTGCAGAACTCAGGGTCTAGGGCACACAGGCTTCAGGAGTTGTGGCCCCCAGGCTCTAGAGGACAGGCTGCATAGTTGTGGTGCATAATTGTAGTGACTCCATCGCATGTGGGATCTGCCCACATCAGGGATCGAACCCGTGTCTCCTGCATTGGCAGGCGGATTCTTTTTCGCTGAGCCTCCAGGGAAGTCCAGTTCTGTTGTTTTCAACTGCAAATTTTGAGGTAATTGGCTACAGCAGCCATAGGAAACTGACAGAAACACTTAATACAGTACCTTGGTCTCGCAGGTCTCTGCCAGGCTGGATTGTCATCAGGCACTTCAGGGGCTACCGAGTGCCCTTGACACCAACACCAGCCCTCATCCTGCTGTGTTCACTTGCTTAATTAGAAAAAAAATAAGATGTTTACATTATGAAAGTAAATCAGCCGTATTGTACTTAAGAGCAGAGAAGCCTCTGGTTTGCTTTTGCTTTCAAATACTTTTAAAGTACAGCTCTATTCTTCAACAACAACAAAAAATTTCTCCCCAGGGGGGGAAAAAAATCTTGTATACATGTGATTAATTGCCAAGATATTTGCTTGAGTCCTGTGCTGCTAAGCAAGTGTTTATCATCTGAAAATCTTGTGACATTTAGAAAAGAAAAACTTCTTGGGCTAGCCTTATAATTTGTTTCTCTGTGCTGCAGAAAGTTAAAATTGAGAACCAAGTTTTATTTCATCTCTCTTCTCGAATCAAGTACAGCCTTTTGGCTTTAGTTGGACTCGAAGATAAAATAGACTAGGAATAAATTTTTCCTCTTTGCTCTCCATTTAAAAACTCATAGTAGTGGAGGAAAAATAGTATTTATTTTCATGCTGCTGCAACAAGCCACCCCAAAACTTTGGCCTAAAAGAACCATTTTATTATGCACAGAGATTCTGTGTACAGTGGGAGATGCCATCCAACCCATCTCAGAGGACGAGATGGGTTGGATGGCATCACTGACTCAAGGGACATTGAGTTTGAGCACACTCCAGGACATAGTGAAGGACACGGAAGCCTGGTGTGCTACAGCCCATGGGTTGGTTAAGAGTCAGACACGATTGAGTGACTGAAGAACAACAGTGGGAGTGTCTTGTCTCTGCTCCAGGTTGTCTGGGGGCTCAGTTGGGAAGGTTCAGTGGCAGAAGGCAGAAGGGGGACCATGACTCGATGGCCGGAGGCATCATCTGGAAATTCAGCTACATCACCTACCTGTGGCCTGGGCACAGCGTGGGGCCTCGTGCCAGCTTGGTGCCCCCAGTGTTAGTGACCCAAGAGAACAAGTGAGGCAGAAACTCCCCACGCCTTTTCTCAACGTGACTTCCAAAGCCATGCCATCACTTCTGCTGCATTCTGTTTGTAACCATTGAGTCACCAGGGTTGGTGCAGATTTCAGGGGAAGAGGCCTCTTCCTGAGCGCTCACAGAATGTGCAGGTGTGTTTAAAAATCATCATGATACCCTTCACAAATAAATGTTTCAAAGAACATGTAATGAAACTAGTGCTGCATTCTAGATGGGAGATACTCTCAGGCTTCTGTTTGATTTTGAGTAAGATTTTGCAGCTCTCCAGCCCTCACTGTCCTCAACTGTGGGATGAAGGGCTGAACTAGGTAGATCCCCAGCTCCTCTGCAGAGCTGTGGTTTTATAGTTCTTCCTGTAATTGTACCAACTGAAATGTTACAGGTTCCAGTTTGCATTATACAGCTGATGTTTATCTGTCACATTATTTTCTGTTGTCTCCAGTTTTAGAACATTTTTTAAAAGTCTTTCACTTATAGAACCTGCTTTCTTTGCTTTTTGTAGAGTCTTTATTTATTTACATCCTTCTTTGGGGGTTTCCCTGGCGGCTCAGCGATAAAGAAACCCCCAGCAATGCAGGAGACAAGGGATCGAGCCATAGGTTGGGGATGCCCTGGAGAAGGAAATGGCAACCCACTCTGGTATTCTTGCCTGAGAAATCCCATGGACTGAGAAATCCCTGGTGGGCTACTGTCCATGGGGCTGCAAAGAATCAGACATCACTTAACAACGTAAGTGTCAAAAGTGAGTGTAATGTTTATAAAAGTAGCCAATAAAGCAAGAACTGTTGCTGTTCGTCACTAAGCCATGTCCGACTCTTTGCAGCCCTGTGGACTGCAACCTCTCAGGCTCCTCTGTCCGTGAGGTTTCCCAGCAAGAATGCTGGAGTGGGTAGTCAGTCCCTTCTCCAGGGGATCTTCCTGACCCAAGGGTCGAACCCAGGTCTCCTGTATTGCAAGCAGATTCTTTACTGTCTGAGCCAGCAGGAAAAGCCCCTTATTTCCTCTTGTTCCTGCCTTTATCCCCCTCACCTGCATGGTTAATTTCTTCTTTCTCCTGGGTTACTTCGTCAGTGTGCAAGGGTACTGAATTAACTTCCATGGGAAAAAAAATGCGAGTGCCTTTATGCACACTTCTGGAACAGCCTGTCTCTTATCGCTTCACCCTTATTCCTTCTGCCCCGAGCTCTCTTCAGCTGGAAGCCCTGCTCCTCTACAGCAAGAGCTTTGTCCCCGTCACTAATGGCCCTGAGCTCAGGGAACCCAACCGTCCATTTGCAGTCTTGACCTTGAGTCACCACTCACATCCTGCCGTCCTCCTGAAAACACCGTCCTGGCTCCGTCTCAGGACACCGCACCCTCTCCCCCACTGGCCATTCTTTTGCATTCTCCATCTCTTCCCGCAGACCCTCTGATTATCTTGTCTGCCCTGGAGATCCCACAGGCCCTGCATACCACACCACCTGCATGCTCCTGACCCTCCCAAACTTGTATTTCCAGCCTGACCTTTTCCCCTGCGGTTCAGGCTTGTATATCGAGCCACCTGCTTAATATCTCCACTTGGAGAGGTCCTAAGAATTTCAACCGGAACCTGTTCAGAACCAAACTCCTGATTCCTGATGTTCCTTACGGAACCTTCATGCGTCTCCAGTTCGTCCCACCTCAGTTGTTCCAGCCATACCTCTTCCTCTCCTGCGTGTCCAGTCAATCACCAAGTCCTGTGAGCTCCAGCTCAGCTTCACAGCTTGAATCTAGTCCTGTCACTGGCTCACGTGATCAGTTTTCCACACAACTACCAAGGCACTTGTTTAAGTGATGTGAGTCAGAGCACATTTCCTGCCTACAGAACTTTCATCCACAGCCACTTCCCTAGTAGCTCAGTTGGTAAAGAATCTGCCTGCAGTGCAGGAGACCCCAGTTCAATTCCTGGGTCAGGAAGATCCGCTGAAGAAGGGACAGGCTACCCACCCCAGTATTCTTGGGCTTCCCTGTGGCTCAGCTGGTAAAGAATCTGCCCGCAATGCGGGAGAGCTGGGTTCCATCTCTGGGTTGGGAAGATTCCCCTGGAGAAGGGAAAGGCTACCCACTCCAGTATTCTGGCCTGGAGAGTTCCATGGACTGTATAGTCCATGGAGTCGCAGAGTCGGACTCGACTGAGTGACTTTCACTTTCAGTTTCATCCACAGCTGCCAAGGGCCCCCAGCACTCTAAATCTCTGAACATGTGCTGGTTTATCTCGGTCCAGCTGCCTTGGCCTCCCCTCCCGACCCCGTCCTGCCCCGGGGCCTTTGCACTGGCTGCTTCTCCACCCCCAGACGGTCACAGGTTTATTCCCTCACTACATCTGGGGCTCTGCGCGTCGTCCATGGTCCCTTTGCTGCTTTCCGGTGCGCTGAGAACCCCCGTCCTCCCGGCCACGTCCGATCGCGCGTAGTGAGCTTTCTCTCCCGCCCCTCTTCCGCGCTGAGCTCTGACTTCCGCCGTATGTTCCTCCTGCTGCTCACCGTTCCTTCGCTGTTGTGCCTGTGACTTCAGCAGAAGCTCCCAAAGGCAAGGCTCCTGTGCGTCTCATTTATGCCGTGTTCTTCGTGCCTAGGCGGAGCCCAGAACGTACTATTTGCTCAGTCAAGATTGGCTGAATGAATAAACGAATGAACGAATAAAAATGCAGAAACAAGTCCATGTTTATTTATAATTGTGTTCTATTGATATAATGAAGCTGGTATTATGCAACAGCCAATAAATGATATTTGTTTATTGGTACTGGGATGATTAGCTAACTAACCACTTGGGAAAAAATAAATTTCATGTCCTACCTGTTTGCATATAAATAAATCAATAAATATAAGGTGAATTAAAGTCTTAATGTTTTTGTTTTATGCACCTAGACACACATTTTCTTTTTTATTCATATTTTACATATTTTAAAGGTTAAAAAATGAAACCGTACTCGTGCTTGAAGGATTTTTATTTTCTTACATGTATATTTTGGGAAACTGTCAAAATGTGACTGAGGAAAAAGTGGTAAGAGGAAATATTTCTAAATTTTAATAAATAAGAATTTAAAGAGTCTTATGATGAAAGTTTTAAGACAATGTTTAAAATTAAATGACCTGGTAAAAAAGATTTCAACACATGTTGTAAAGACCAAATAGCCTTAAAATATAAAAAGAGCTTATAAGTCAATAACAAAAGTGAATATCCCACTAAGGAAAGGGCAGGAATTTCACTAAAGAATGAAAGACAGATATTAACATTGTCACTAACAACTATAAAGACTCATACATTTAAACAGTAAATGATTCCATTTTTTACCACATAATGAAGGTTTTTTTAAATGCTGACGTCAACAATTATTTTACTGGTAGGGGAAAATGTATTCCTGCTCACTGCAAGTTTAAAATAGTGCAACTTTTCTGGACAATAATTTGCACTACTAAATTTTTTTTTAAAAATGCAAGCCAATCAAGCTCAAATGTATACTTCTTGGAATTGTTTGTAATAGTTAAAAACAGGAATACAGTATACACATTCAAAAAGAGGGGGGTTATAAGATGATGATATATATCCATATAATATATATCCAATGAAATAGAATGAAATCACCATGAATACTGATAGATGTATAATATTCATATGGAAATATATACAGTAAAGAAATGGTTGAAAAACATTGATAGTATTGTTCAGTTTTTGTTAATTTTTATTAAGTGTGTTTGTTTACATGTTTATTATATGAAATCATAGCAAAATAAGTATGCTAGTACAATAAAAATAGTATTCTTAGTAGGAAAAATATGAACTAAAGATTAATTTACAATTTTTAAATTAAAAATGAAATGTAAATAGGACATTTAAAAGATAAGTAAAATATGAAAATTTATCATAAGTGCACAAGAGAAAAATATCAGTTGGTAATTGGCATATTTGCTTTATCTTTTCTCTACACACCTAATATAAAAATATACTGTTCATACTGTTCATGGGGTCCTCAAGGCAAGAATGCTGAAGTGGTTTGCCATTCCCTTCTCCAGTGGACCACATTCTGTCAGACCTCTCCACCATGACCCGACCGTCTTGGGTGGCCCCACATGGCATGGTTTAGTGTCACTGAGTTAGACAAGACTGTGGTCCTGGGATCAGATTGGCTAGTTTTCTGTGATTGTGGTTTTAGTGTGTCTGCTCTCTGATGCCCTCTCGCAACACCTACCGTCTTACTTGGGTTTATCTTACCTTGGACGTGGGGTATCTCTTCATGGCTGCTCCAGCAAAGTTTTTTGGGCTCCAAAATCACTGCAGATAGTGATTGCAGCCATGAAATTAAAAGATGCTTACTCCTTGGAAGGAAAGTTATGACCAACCTAGACAGCATATTAAAAAGCAGAGACATTACTTTGCCAACAAAGGTCTGTCTGGTCAAGGCTATGGTTTTTCCAGTGGTCATGTGTGAATGTGATTGTTGGACTGTGAAGAAAGCTGAGCGCCGAAAAATTGATGCTTTTGAACTATGGTGTTGGAGAAGACTCTTGAGAGTCCCTTGGACTGCAAGGAGATCCAACCAGTCCATCCTAAAGGAGATCAGTCCTGGGTGTTCATTGGAAGGACTCATGCTGAAGCTGAAACTCCAGTATTTTGGCCACCTCATGCGAAGAGTTGACTCATTGGAACAGACCCTGATGCTGGGAGGGATTGGGGGCAGGAGGAGAAGGGGACGACAGAGGATGAGCTGGCTGGATGGCATCACTGACTCGATGGGCATGAGTTTGAGTAAACTCCGGGAGTTGGTGATGGACAGGGAGGCCTGGCGTGCTGCGATTCATGGGGGCGCAGAGAGTCGGACACAACTGAGCGACTGAACTGACTGACTGAATATAAAAATATACTCTTGTTGAAAATATTCAAATGGTAAAGTACTCGCCGGCCACCGCAAAAGATGTAAGAGACATAGGTTCGACCCCTGGGTTGAGAAGATCCCCTGGAGGAGGGCATGGCAACCCACTCCAGTGTTCTTGCCTCCCGTGGACGGAGGAGCCTGGGAGGCCCCAGTCCATAGGCTTACAAAGAGTCGGACACAACTGAAGCGACTTAGCACACAGCACGCATGGATGACTGTCTCCCTCAGTATTTTTTTCCACAGAGATAACGTCTATTATATTTATTCCTTACACCTCTAGATGTTTTGCTGTATTTATCAAATATATTATTTGTTTACTTTTTAAAATGACTTAACCACATGTCTTAGGAGTTTTAGCCTGTCAATAAAGTAGAGATTGAACATGTTTTTTAAACACTACATAATATTCCAGAGCACATGAAGAGGATCGTTATTGAACTATTTTCCTTTAATAATTCTGTTTATTTACCCAGGCTTCCCTCATAGCTCAGCTGGTAAAGAATCTGTCTGCAATGCAGGAGACCCCAGTTCAATTCCTGGGTTGGGAGGAGCCCCTGGAGAAGGGACAGGCTCCCCACCCCAGTATTCTTGGGCTTCCCTTGTGGCTCAGCTGGTACAGAATCCCAACAAAAAATGTGTGTGTCAACACTGCAGCAGACCCTGTAGACCAATGACAGAAAGATAAAACAGTCTTAGTATCCATTCTACTTGGTCACTTCCACTTTGGGTCTCAACTTGGAGGATCCACGTTCTTCTTCAAGTTCATTGTCTTTTACCAAAAAAAAATTAAGGATTATTTTTTCTCCAACATCCTGGGAATTATCTCTGCAAGACGCCTTCTCGTACTAACCCTGCCTTGTTTAAACAGTCTTCACCTCTCTGATCAGCAGCAGCACCCAAACAAATGCTATTGGCTCATCAGCACTTTCTGGTTTTGCTGAATGGGGTGTGTGTTTGCCGAGGGAGACAGGGAGAAAGGCAGGAAGGACCTGAATAAGACTGGCAGCTTCAGTGGCCTTTGAAAGCCTGGCGTTTGGCAGACAACACCGCTTTAAAGATTCACCTGCATGATATCTGAAGGTCAGAACAAAGAGAGGCCATTCAGAACTTTAAGTCTATGATTCTCTTATTTGCTTGGATGAGTATGGACTCCAGCTCACTTTTAAATATCTGACATTTCTTGCTATGGCTTAAGTTGGCTTCCTCAAGGTTGGTTCCACTCGATAGTGATAGGATTAAAATGCAAAGTCATGCATGGGTAGAGTCCATTTATATCTGTGGGGAAAGTCATTATTTTTGCTTAAACAAGCTGTTTATCACGCTGGGCACCACCACTGAGTCCGCAGTCATTTTATTTTAAACCTGGGCCTCCGTGGTTGGTCACCGAAGCTCTGCAGGCCTGGGGGAGGGTGTGTGGGTGGATTGCCCATGTGTGCCTTCATGAGCATTTATTTAGAAAACTTAAAGGTTGGAATAAAAGCAAAACTTTATCCCAATTGAGAGGGAATAAGGTTTCTTCAT